AGAATATTATTTATTATAAAGGATGAGTCACATAAAACTCTAGAAATGCATATGTCTGAAACCAGATAACATTTTAAAATTTAAATCTATTAAAAGTCATTTGGTCGCTAGGGATGAGTGATTATCGAAATAAATTATCGATAATTGAAAATAATCGATTATTTTCGATCAATAGATTATTTTCAAACAATATATTTTTTGTCATTTCCTTTAAAATCGACTACTTGATTATCTTTGAAAAATCAAAAATAATCGATTAATTAAAAAGCCAATTAACCGATAAATCAGTGTTTACAAAACATAATATAAATAGAATTATCGTTTATTTTAAATAATCGATTATTTTCAAATAAACCATTTTTTTTTGTCCATGGAAACAGATTATTCGATAATCTTTGAAAAATCGAAAATAATCGATTAATCAAAAATAATCAATTAATTAAAAAGTCGATTAACTGATAAATCGATTTAAAAAAAAAACAGAATGATCGATTATTTTAAATAATTGATTATTTTCGATCAATCGATTATTATCAATAATCTATTTTTATTGTATTTCCTTTAAAATCGTTAATTCGATTATCTTTGAAATACCGAAAATAATCGATAATTCCAAAATAATCGCCTAATCGAAAATAATCAATTAATTAAGAAGCCGATTCTATGATAAATCGATTATTACCAATAATCTATTTTATTGTATTTCAAAAATATTCGATTAATTAAAAAGTCGATTAACTGACAAATCGATTTTCAAAAAAAACAGAATGATCGATTATTTTAAATAATCGATTATTTTCGATCAATCGATTATTATCAATAATCTATTTTTATTGTATTTCCTTTAAAATCGATAATTCGGTTATCTTTGAAATACCAAAAATAATCAATAATTCCAAAATAATCGCCTAATCAAAAATAACCAATTAATTAAGAAGCCGATTCTATGATAAATCGATTTTCCAAAAAATAAAACGAATTATCTATTATTTTCTAATAATCCTTTTTTCATATTTCCTTTGAAATTGATTATTCGATTATCGAAAATAATTGATTATTAAAAAGCTGATTATCCAATAAATCGATAATTTTAAAAAATAACCAAAATATCGATTATGTAAAATAACCGATTATATTCAATCGATTATTTTCATATAATATCTTTGAAAAATCGAAAATAATCAAATAATTAAAAAACCGATTAAACGATAAATCGATAATTTTGAATAAATGTACTTTTTCTGTATTTCCTTTAAAATCGATTAATACATTATCTTAAAAAAAAAAACGAAAATAATTTATTAAAAACAGCGGATAAATCGATTTTCATTAAAAAATATCAGAATTATCGATAAATCGATTATTTTTGTAACCCCTATCGGTCGCTTGCTTTTATCTGAGCATTTAGCTCCAAAATTTAGAGATTCGGATTTTTTGATCCAGTTATCTTTGAAATCGCATTCGCTTGTATAATAAATAAATATTGCTAAATTTTGGATTTTTTTTAGTAAACGAAAATTATGTTCGAGTTGTTTAGGGGTTTGTAATGTAACATTTTATTAACGTGACTAAGGGTTGATTCCACCGTTGTGTTAAACGAAGTTTAAAATGACATTTTTACATTAACACTGTCATTTTAATCTCCGTTTAACACAACGGTGGAATCGGACCTAACTCCTGTAACTTTAGTATTTTTTTTTGTTTATACTAGATTACTTTGTTTTAAGACTGAAAATTCAATGTCACTTTCGATTTGACCGCAAATAAGATGAACCTTGAAATTTTAAGTAGGTCATCCTGTATTTCATCTAATATTCTTATAAAAATACCTTATAAAAATAAAATTTAGCTAGCAACTATGATTCTTTACCTCTTATTTATCTACCAAAAAGGGCTAAAAACTACCTTTAGAAAACATTCTTATAAAACTACTATTTAAATACAAAATTTCGTTAGCAATAATGCCTATTTACTATTTATTTAAATTAAATGTTCAAAATTTTACCCTTTTGTAAATTTATGTAAGTAATATTAAATCTGATGCTTAATATTTATTGAAACCCCTTAATGCGGATCTGAAGTATTCAGCCCAGAGAATCATGGCGCTTTATGTCAAAACGTTAATAAATATTTACCGCTGAAAACGAATATATTCATAACAGTAGTACTTGTATTATAAGTACATACAATTTTTCAAGATACATCGTGACATTTTGAACTTGAAATTGAATAACTAGAACACTTTAAATTGCTAAAATACCAACAAATAAATCAAAAAACAGCTGTCAATGGTGATTAAACTCAGGTGGAGGTGTGATCGCTGAATGGAAATCGGAGCAATTCGGGTGGCGTCGTGCAACAATGATTTTCAATTGGTGGGTTACTTTGGCTTAAAATAGACTGCATGCGCAGTGTGCAATGTTACATCTTCGGTCTCTTTTATCTAAGATTGCGTTTTATTTTTTAAATAATTGAACACCGTTATTGAAAAATGCCCAGAACTGTCGTTTAAGGTAAAATTTTGACGTACTCTTTTAAGAAAAACGGGTAAAAACTGGGTTTTTTCTCAAATTTCCCGTGGGTAATGTCAAAAATCAGATCGGCACTGCACATGTACCTTATTTTTATTATTAAGTACTATTAAAAAAAAGGTCCGTAGAGCAATAAAATACAACGATTTTCAGAAATATTTGATTGGAAGTACCTACAAGTAGTACGATTACATCCTATAATACAAGGAAAGGCATGATTTTGCTTTTTTGAAGTACAGTTTTTTTGGTAGTGCTCAACAAATATAGATGAACAGTAGTTTATATGTAAAATAATGGATTTGTAGATTGTTAATTTTGTCTATTTTCTGAGGTATGTATTCACTATTTTCATATTTATCAATTACATATAGTCCAGGATCCGTAAGTAGGGTCGACCTTCACCCATCTGTAATGGATACAACTTATTTTTTATTAAATAAAATATGTTTTTAAATATACCGCAAATGGGTTGCCTAAGAAAATACGGTCACGGCCATTTTTTACTTTCCTTTTTGTGTACAGATAAGTAAAGTATAAAAATCATGATAAAAGTTGTTTATGATGTCATTATCTATTATTTTGTTTCCATACATGATTTTCCTAAAATGAACCTAATTCGAGATATTTGAGGAAAAGTGCAAATTTCGAATTTTGAAGACAACTCAAAAACGGATAAAGAGAAAAACGCCAAATTTTAAATTTAAGCTTTAATCCATCCTGCGGTGAGCTGATTAAAGTTTGGGCATAGTTGAAGCATCTGGGATATACTTTACAGGGTGTCGTTTTTTTTTACTTTAAGAAAAAAAATAGTCTGGACCATATTTTCTTAGGCAACCCATTTGCGGTATATTTATAAATATATTTTATGTAATAAAAAGTAACTTTCATCCATTAAACAGATGGGTGAAGGTGGACCTTACTTCGGATCTTAGACTAATATTCTACATGTTTAGAAAATGTTAAATGTTCAGAATATAAAGAAAGAACACAAATGGTTTGAAAATCCATCAGAAGATGTAACACAGATTAGTTTAAAATGTGAAAAATTAATAAAAACTGTAAAAATGGTTTTAAAATAATTCATAAAATCTAAAGTTTTCCGAATATCATGCAGCGCAGTTGATAAATCTATTACTAGCTGATTAACGTATCTGACTAAATTTAGAGATGTCTTGTGTAATATTTTTGCAACATCTATCTAATCTAATTCAGTCGCAAAAGGACAACAAACATTGTAGAAGTCACATTTGCGCAATAAATTCGATTAATTTTGGATTGGACATGTTGAAACAAATCTTAGGTATATAACTCATTTAAAAGTTGTAATTGTGCACAGGCGATATTAATTATATTTAAATACGACCCTGCTTAGACTACAATTTGCCTAGTGGTGTAATTTTTAATAACATGTTTCTTATGGGAAACAATTGCCTCATAGCATCTCCATTACTATTATGCCTCCATGCAGTAGATGCGCGACGTAACATAACATGAAAATGACGTCCCAGGGACGTCCATCTGAAGACGTTTCTGAAACGTTAAGAAAATGTCTTAAAAACGTCATTTACACTAAATACCATTACTTCATTTTATCGAGATACCATTACGTTATTCTGACATCATCACGTCATTTTGACGATATACTATCTCATCTTTTTGACGATACCTCATAATTTTGACGAAGTAGCATGTCACCTATGACGTTAATTTAACACGTTATATTTTTGGTCACAAGACGTAACAGGTGCCCAAAAAATCATATAATGACGTGTTTGTGAGTTAGGTTAGCTGTCCCTCTTCCTGTTTTTTTTTGTGTCATCGGCTTCAACTGCTAAAGTTATTTCGCCTCGTGTTCTGTGTAGGCTTTGTTACTGTTTCCCAGTGCCACTTTAGGAACAGCACTGTTAATTAGAACCCAACAGTGAATGGTCGAGTGGGGAGTCCTACCAAGGCATCAGAATTAATTTCAAATAATTAAATTAAATGAAAAAACTGGACCCTTGGATCCACAGGCAGAGGCTCTACCACTGAGCCACCCACCCCCTCCTCTTCCTGTTAAATATATCTACTTCCATGGTATGACCCTCTACTTCCATGGTATATGATCCAGAGCCGCCTAGGGCTATAGTGGGACCCCGGGTAATACACCGGCAAGGACCCCCCACATATTGTAATCTTTTTTTTTTACTTACAAACGTTTTATGTTCTACTAAAATGAGTGTACTTACTAATTAGGACTAAAAATGTTTGTAAAGAACCGTATATTCTTTGTGAATTGATCGTTTTGATCTTAACCAATTATTGCTGTAGCAGCTGAGAAAAATTCATCAAAAATTATTATCTAGGCCTACATAAAGAAATCTGAAATTGTATTTCTTCATTCTATTATTACCTCTAAAGCTGCCTGGTCCCCCCTTTGCCGGGCAACGAGAATTTTGCCCCTCCCTCTCTTTATGTCCCTCTACTTACCCTGTTTCCTCTAGTACTGGCAAATAATTCATTGAATTTTTCTCCATAATAGTCAAAACTTCGTCAAGTGATTGACTTATTGTAACGTTTATAGTAGGTTTGCATTCCAAATCTGTAACTTTTATATCCCACCACCTAAAATGGATTTATACTTTTAAAATGATGTATTTTCTGATTCTGATGAACAAATATTTTACTGCTAATATTTTAAGGCATTGTTAATAGTATATTATTTAATGAGTAGTAATTATAGTTATTACACAAGAGGATATTATATTTTAGAGAGTAATAGACTTTCGTTATTACTACTATACTAGTTCAATACCTTCTAAAACTCTTATATGACATTTAAAAAAAAAACTGCTCAACTAAATTATTTTTATAACAGATTACCTACCACAGATTTTTAGTATTTATACATGGCATGAAACCTCTTTGTTCCATCCACTGATCTTGTACGAATTTGCTTAAATAGTTTTTTGTGCCATCTGGTAGGAGAACAACTACTTTTTTTCCTTTTCCAAGTTTAAACTCCTTTATAGCTTTTACAGCACATGCCACCAAGAGACCACTAGTAGTTCCTACAAAAAAATATAAATCAATTCCATTAAGTAAATTAAACTTGAATTTAATAATTAGCTGTAACTTAATAATTTTCCTAACGTACTTTTACTAAAACGTGTTTTAACAAAACATTTTCAATTGAACGATCATTGTTATGTCAGATCAATGTAATTATTGTAAGAAATGAAGCGAGAGGGTATTTAAAGTGTAAATATTGAAACATTGTTATTATTTATTTTTAATTGCAAGTCAAGTACAGTCATTAACTTAACAAATAATTCTACTCTGTCGACTTAAATTATATTTTAAAAACCTTGCATCTTGGCCTTATTACAAGACACAGCAGATAATAAAGCCCTGCTATTTATCCTCACAAAAAGCACATACAAAATCAATATCCTCTTCGGTTAATCCTACACACTCTTTCTGGGACCATAATAGACATTAGTTAATTGCCTCGCATATCAGTAACATAATTTTTGTGGTATCTGACACAAACAAATTTCTTTATTAATCAGAACTTTGGGAAATAATCGTCTTAGCTCCTCAGATGAGATTTTCGTTTGCGTCCTCTTGTTTTTGTGAATCTTCATTTAAAAGAATTATCATCTTGGAAGAGTACTTTGGTCACTTCTACTTCTAGAGCTTTGTAGACTAAAGCTTTCTTTCTCACTGATGTATTTGTGGCTTTTATCTTGACTTTCGGAGTAATCAACACTTCGGAAAAAGAATTTGTCAGGCTACTTTGCCTGCTAGCAATTGGCAGGTTTTCGTCTTAAAAACTTAAGGCATCATTGTTTCCGTCATTATTGTTAAATGTTGCTAAACTTGAGCAAAAGCATTCTCTGGTAGCGCGTTAATAATATTTAGAGGATAAATCTCGGTTGCTCTGAAGATATTGATTATATTGGTGATATACATTTTCCCTACACTGTCCCTAGATGTCGGAAAATATTTTCTTGTTTAAAGTTTTTTATTCCAGTGGTGTTCAAGAGCACGAAAAAATATCCTTGTTCAGTGACTGTAACTTGTGCGTTATTGTATTTGGGAGGTATATTAAATGGGTTCCCAACTATTAAACGAGTTAAATAACTCGTTTTGCTATGGGAATATTTAAATGACGGGAAGCACCGTCAAAAATTAAAACAACCGGAGAAATAGACATGTAATTTGCCAAATGTTCTAACCATTATGATTACGATTTATTATAGTCTAGAGAAGAAAGAAGTGCAGTAATTTAATTTGCAGAAAGTAGTACAGGTTCAAGAGGTAGACAATTTATTTATACCTCATCCTTCAATGCTTATTTGTAGTTAAAATTAAAATTTTAATATATCTGATCGGCCTAAAAAAAGTTTTCGTTTATATTTAATCATATTTCCATGGTTTTTACTATAATAATCCTTTTATTTTGACAGATAAGTCAGACTTTATTTATTCGCAGCCGTATCATATGTATTTTAACTGATTCGGAATTATGTATTAGTACCTATATATTATAATTTTACAGGTATATAAGAATTGTGAGTGCATTAGAAAATATTGCAAGCACAAGTACACGTAAACGTCCTAGTTAACATAAAGCATTATCTTTAGAAGAAAAAAATATCGTACTTAATGTATTTAATAATCTTCGAAATGACTTTGTTTCACTTTTTGTGGATGAAATACCCACTAAATGTGAGCCCTATACTGGAGTATTTAAGCGAACAGTGTATACCATTATTAAAGAAGATATAGTTATTGAAGAAGTCCCATATCAGAAAAAGCCGTCAGGAATAAACAAGACCCTTATTGAAACTAGGGTAAAGAATGTAATAAGGCAAATGGCACATTCCATTTTCTTTCGAAATGAAATTCCTACACCTAAAAAATTACATTCAGAAATAGAAAATAGCCCCACTCTTCCAAATATATCATATTTTCATCTGTAAAAAATATTACATGAATTAAATTTTCGTTACAAGAAACGGTACAGAAGCAGCTATTTAACAGAGAAAGACGAAATCATTGCTTGGAGACATGATTATTTAAGGAAAAAGCGGACGCAAGGAATCAGCATAAACAGGTATTTTATTTAGATGAAACATGAGCTAATACTGGAAATATAGTAATAAAAATTTGCAAGGCACCTCCATCAAAACCAAAAAACAAGCTTTTATGAAAGGGGTCTCTACTGGATTTAAACCGTGCGACAGGAAAAGGAAATCGTTTAGTTAACCCACATTGGAAGCACCGATGGTTTTTTGGTAGATGGTTTACTAATGTTCGAAGATATGGATGGTCTTATGTTTGAAAATTGGTTTCAGAACATTTTAAAAAAAATTCTAGCCAACTCCGTTATTGGTTTGGATAATGCAACCAATCACCTAATGTGGGAAATTTGTTTTTGAAGACAGTTTCAGATGTAAATGGAGAACATTGGAGAACATGCATTGATCATGTTAAAAAGGTGGAAAATTCATTTTGGAAACTGAATATAGCAGTGGAAAACTTAATGGACCCTATAATAATAAACCTCAGAAAAGACAATGATAATGATACCAGTATTTATAGTGAAGACTGACTTTTAAAGATAGTTCTTGAACTTTTTATTTTTTTAATCTTTGATTGTAGGTGCTGAAGTTCTACTTTTAATGCCAAGTGCTAAAAAAAAGTTTAATCCCATTAACAACATATTTCGTACTGACAGGGTCACGGTACACAGACTAACGGTATGTTCCTGCGCATGCAGCTGACTGACGGTGACGTCACGTGGGACATAGAATTATAAGCATTAAATGGGAGATAGTGTTTAAAATTCGATATTTTACCAATTTTAGATTTTATGCAGTTAATTAAGCTTTATTGGTTATTTTGTAATAAATTCATTTACAAATATGAAGGTTTAAGGTAAATAATCCTAATAAAAATATTAATTTTTCTCATAAACTATAGGTATTTTGTGACAAAATCCATAACCTGGCCATAAGATAAGTAAAAGATATAGACTAAAAATAGACTTAAATTTGTACTTTCTGGGCGTGCATGGTAGTCCTTTTGCAATCTCTTTTCTTATTATGTGAAATAAAAATAAATGTGCAGAAACAAATTATTTATTTATAAAAAGTAAGTACACAAAAACTTTTTATTTGGTAAATTTAAACATTTTTTGTCAAGTTTACTTTGAAAATACTCAAAACCAATTTTGCTGTTCATTTATCTTATTCTTATATATGTTCGTGTCCTGCTCATGCATGGCATTACTTCAAAAGGACCGTTGTATTGGGACAGGAAACTACTGTTTTATCTGCTTAAATTTTTAAATACCGATTTATTTTCTTTGCTTAAGAGGAAAATTTACATTACAAACTAAAAGACCTGCGGGGCAACGGTAGTTTAGTAGGTATAAAATTTACAACTTAAGGGTGGAGCCTAAATACTACAAAATTACTTTCGTGACCAAACAAAATCAGCATTCATTCATAATTTTAACAATTGTATGTAGATACGAGGGATGCATATTCTAAACTTTAACGCGCGAAGTTGAAGACAAAGGAACCGAAAAATATTCCACAATAGCACAAAATAATATTACCTATGTATTTTACAATATAAGTATGGTCATTGTGTATGGTGTAGATTAAAACTTATTTTGGCTGTCGACAAATTTGGTTAAAAAATCTTCTTTTAGAAATATACCTTTCATTTGACGAAAAACGAAGGCCTAAACGAAAAAAAAATATTAATTAAAATTAACAAAAATATAGCAATAAACAATTACTGATGTCATGGTTTTACAGGAAAGGAAGCAGTCTCTTGACTGTATGCGTCTCTCTCAGGGATGAAATGTATGCAATCTGTTTGACTCTCTTACATTATTTTATATAGGTATTATTTATTTATCCGCTATGAAGGCGAATAATGTTTTATAGGGTGTATTACTTCATGATTTTTTTTGAGGAAAATAAAAAAATAAAATATAAACTATTTATGGAAGATATAAGCACAATATATATAAGTATAGGTTATAAACAGTAAAGCTATTGCTTTGCAGAATACAATAAATTCTTAATAAAAAAATTCAATAATTAGAAGTATATAAAGCATAAATTAATAATATTAAAATATATAAGTACAGGACTCAAACTAATCAAAATTAGATTCTCCACATTAATCTACATTTTCCAAAACATTAGCGGCTATGATCAAACTATTTCTGCAGTTTTTCTGTGCCATACAGGTGCATTAACCGATGTAGCCAATATTTTTTTCTGCATTTGCAAATTTTGCTTCCATAGTATAGAATAGAATAATATTGTTAAAATATTGTACATATATGAAAATTATCGGTGTATAGTACCTTTTTTGCATTTGCATGATAAGTTCTGTTATTTCTGGTAGCAGGTCGAGCATAATCTTAATCTTAATCTTAATCCATCACTAGATACAAATTTTCAAGAAGTTGCTCTGACAGAAAATGTGTTAAACGTCTTTTATTAAATATCGAATGAATGAATAAGTTTCATTATTCTGGAAGTGGAATATTGGGTCGGTCAATTTCTATATCAATTGATTTCTGGGATCATCTCTTTTGACGTGTTGTATTTTTGATATAATTTTCTTTATAATGATTAAATACCACATCTATCCTTTGAGCATTAAATTTATTTTTAAAAATAATCTTTACAAATATATTAGCATATTCTTTAAATGATATGCAACTTTTGGACTTTCCCAAACCTTGAGCTACTGCTATCCCATCAAAAATGTGACAAGTTTTGCAAGATCACCTAGGTGCAGGTAAGTCTTTGTGGGTCATATTGCTCTAAAATATTTCCCAATAAACTCTTATTTGTAAAGGTGCCAAGATACCCATTTTACTGTTAGAGACATGGGAGAAGGCTGTCAGATCAAACTTAAATATTTCGGCATATTTACCTAATGCTTCTGTCCATATCCTTTGCTAATAAAATATTGTGAAGAAACTGTTGACCATGCAAGGATTAAGAAGTCATATTTTGATATCATTTGTGTC